GAGTGAGAAAAAAGAGAGTGAGAAAAAAAAAAAAAAAAAAAAACAGAAGTTACCGGTCAGTTCTGCTCCTCTTCGCCCTGCGCAGCTCCAGCAAACCCTGCGGTGTGGCCTGCCAGGAGCACAATTCGCGGCTGTAGTAGTCTCGCGTCAGTGGGTCCCAAAACATGTCCAAATCAAAACTGTAAAAGAGGTCGCTCTTGTCATCGTACACCCAGTCATTGGCGCCATCGATGGTAATCTCAAGCTCCTCGGCGGTGAGGTACAACGGCTCCTCCGGCTCGCCAAGTATTGGACGCAGAAAACGAGTCATATGTCTGCTCCTCTCACCGTGGCTCGTCTGCACGCGTTCTCTTCGACGGCGCTCCTGTTCCCTCCGTTCATCATACTTTTGGGCGGTCTGGGCACGAATGGAGTGCGGATATGAACACAGGAAGATGGCAGTGATGCAGGCAACGAAATTAAAGCATATAGACGCAATGTAAACATCAAACCCCCAGTCATATCTAACGCGACACTGTGGTGAGGGACTGTGCAACGCCTCACACGCTCGTCGTTCACAACGTGTGTAAAAGTGAAATAACACACAGTTCACTATACCACATGGTAAGGCTAAAAGAAGCAAACACAACACCGCAGTGACACGGCGACGGTGGCGCTGCCCAACACCCCGATGGGAGGCGGCGAGGGATTTTTATTTTTATTTTATTTTTGACTTTGCGCCCCCCCAACCGAAAACGATGAACGACGTCAGGCGGCAGAAGGTCAACTAACAGCAACGCCGCAGAGAAGGCGAAGCGAAGGAAAAGAAACAAACAACAACAACTAAAAAAATACAAGAGAACAACGAAGAAAAGAGGAAGAGAAAAGAGAGTCGCGACTGTGCGGGGGGGAGTTGTTGTATTGACTGGACGATTCATTCAATGACTTTTTTTTGTTGTGGTTGCCTTTTTTTTTTTTTCCCTCCTCCTTATACTTTTCTAATTTACATACATATATATATATATACATGTAGGCATAAAAGGCATAGAGGGGAGAAGGAAGAGGGAGCAGGAACTTGTCTACCGTTAGCGTTTTTATTTTATTTGTCAGTTGTTGTCTTTTCCCCTCCCCCCCTTTTTAATTCAGAGGCGTTTTAAGTAGTCATTGGGGGAACAACAACAACCCCCCTTCCCACCCCTCCAAAAAAAAAAAAAAAAAAAGGGATCATATACACGCACAGACACACGCAGAGAGAGAGACTTAAGAATGCATTACGAATACGAGTATTACGATTTCCGGGGTTCCGGCAAGCCACCGTACATGCGTTATGGGCCTTTTGATGTATTAACGTTCCTTATGAGTTGCATCACTGGGTTAGCAATTTTATTTAGTGTTGCATGCGCAATTGGCTACATTGCTGACGTCGCTGAGGAGTTCCCAACACGTGCAAAGAAAATTCTTCACATCATGGCGATTGGTGTTTTGTTTGTGCATGGTCTTATACTTGTTTTAGATCAGCTTAGTCTTTGGTGTTCTCTTGTGAGCATTATAACAAATGTTTTGTACCTGCGTATTTTGTCTGGTTTTCCACACCTCTCGTTGACGCACCCATTGACGATTTTGACGATTGTCTCGTTGGTAGTGGAGTTGTTGTCGTGGTATTTGTTTTTTCTCTTTTCGCCTATTATGTCTGAGCATTTAGGATCCCACAGGTTTTTTTCTTTCACTGCGTTTTTGTGGCTCATGCCACTAGGGCTACTCGTCTCATTGCAAATTGAGCCGGTGGGTCTTCCTGGCAGTGGGTTTAGCGCGTCTTCGCAGCGTCACACCGACATTGCCGCAGAGGGGCGAAAGAAAACCGTATTTAATTTACTGAGGGGGTGGTTGACGCCGGTGATGAATTAGTGTGCGTTACGCATGTATGTACGTGTATGTATTTACCTGCGGACACCGTGCAGTGAACACAGGCTGAAGGGGAAGAACGACACGGAGAGGGAGGGGGGAGAAGAAAAAAAAAAAGGAAAAAAAAAAAGGAAGCAAATCAATGGAGGCGGTGACACTTGGAGAATAAATGTCAAGAAGAAAAAGGGGCGGGGCGAAGAGGCGTGTTGGTGGTGTTGGTGGTGGGCCCCTGAGTAAATTCCTTTCTTGCAGGGTGGCTGTGCGGAAAAATCATGAAGGGGCTGAGTGAATTTTTACGACAGGCGCGTCATGAGTCTTTGTGATTGTGTTTGTGTTTGTGTACGTGTGCATGTGATATTTTCTGTTTTTATTTCTATTTTTATTGTCGTGCCCCCTCCCTTTTTTTTTTTTTTTCTTTTGTCTGCACGATTCCCCCTTGACATGGCTGCCCATCGCCTGCGGTGCTGCGTATGAATGGATGAACATGCGTTTCCTGTTCACACTGTCGTCTCAACGATGCGGCCAGGGGGGGAAAAGAGAAGAGAGCAGTTGGGGGCAGGGGGAGGGGGGCAAATTACATCACTAACTTTGGCTCAGGACTGCGGCACAACCAGACAAAAGAGAAAATCTAAAAAGAAAGAGGGGTAGAGAGATAGAGAGAGAAAGAGGAGGTTAAGGGGGGAGAAACCGCCTGTGGGTTTGCTTCGAGATGTCTACACCCCAAACGCACCCGGCGACGCTGGTGGATGCACGATACAACGGGAGAAAATTTTTTTTTTATCACCTAATCTTTGGTCCCACTGGGGCTGCCACTCTTGCAGGGTTATGTGAGATTCTCATATTTCATCCCTTTGATACAACGGCGAAGCGACTCATGACGCATCAGCACATTGTATTTGACCCCACCTCCTTGTCGAACACGTGGCGGGGTTTTTTGCGGGTTGTGTTTGCAGGCATTGAGCACGACAAGCCCATTGGAGCTCGCATCACTTCTTTAGATCGCGTGAGGCACATGTACCCGGGAAGCACATACGCCATGTTATATAAGGTGTTGCAGCGCGTCATTAAATTTGCAGGTCAATCATACATGCGGGATTTTTTGGAGTCTAGATTTGGGCATATTTTTTTAGGAGATGCGCAGGAACAATCAAAGCAGCAGCAGCAGCAGCAGCACACCCACAGAAGAAATAATCACGGCGCAATGGCGCTTGAGGCCACCGCTGGGTGCCTTGTAGGTGTTTTCGAGGTGATTCTGTTGCCCATTGACCGGATGAAGGTGCTGAACCAGACAAATAAAGGGGCCATTAAAAACCGCTCTTTTTTCCGAATCCTCCGTCAAGAGGGGGTTATGAGGATGTACGCAGGCATCGGAACAACCGCGGTGCGAAACGCCCCTGGTTCCTTTTTGTTGTTTGGAGGTGTGGCCTGGACCAAGGAGTACGTGTTTCACCTGGAGGACTACAGCGAAGCGACGTTTGTTCAGAATTTGGTGAGCTCCACCGTGGGTGGTTTCCTCGGCGTGTGGTTTACGAACCCAATCGATGTTGTGAAGACACGCATTCAAAACAAGAGATTTGAAGACGGCCGCGTGACTGGTTGGAGCGTGATGATGGAGACCTTTCGGCGAGAGGGCGTGACGGCCTTTTACAAGGGCATGTTGCCGAAACTCCTCACATCGGCACCTCGTCTTGTCTTTTCGTACACAATGACGCAGTTTTTTATTAGATGTTTTCGTGGTGAGAAGCCAAAGCCGTTGCGCGAATCAAAATGACTGGGAGGGAGAGAGAGAGAGAGAGAGAGAGAGAGAAACAAGAAGAAAAGGGAGAAGGGGTGGGCGAAAACTAGCTGGATATAATCTAAACCTGTAAATACGACGAAAAGACAGATCTTTTCTTCTTCGTCTTCTTCTTCTTAAACTGGAGAGGAAGTCCCTCGTCTTTTTTAAATTTTATTTTAACCTTCTTACGGTGCCACTTTGGAAGGCAGCGCCAGTGCGGCTCTTTCCTTTCCTTTTTTTTTTTTTTTTTTTTGCCCCACTACTACTGCTATTATGACTACTGCTTCCATCCGCGTTGGAAGGAGGAGGAGTCCGGCGGTTGCGGGGCCCTTTGAAGGGCTGCAGCTTTTTTTTTTTTTTTTTTTTGAAACGACGGGCCTGACGATTATTACATTAGAAATTTTTTTGAATTTGTTTGATTGATTGATGCGTATGAGAGCTGAATAGATTCCCCCTGAAGATTGCGGAGGGTGTGCGTGTGTGTGTGTGTGTGGGTCTGGGGTGCATGGAGCTCAAACCCTTATGCCCTCCATTTGTGATGCGTCTTCTCTCCTTTCACCCTCATTGCGGGGAAAGATGGAAGGAGCGCGCTGGTAGGGGGAGCAGCCATGTGTGTAGGGAAGTCGCAGGGGTGGGTGGGAGAGAGAGAGAGAGAGGCGTGTGGACGGAGGCGTCGGTGAGGATGACTGCGGCCCCATTCACAATTGGGAATTTGTTTCTCTCCAAAAGGAGGGGAGAATATAATAATAATAATATTAACAATAATAATAAAGGAGAAGTTATGTTGGTGGTGAGGGAGAGACGAGGGAACAAAATTCACATCGCTGTCTGTGCCGCTTCTGTTGCGAACCGCTGGATTCTTGTGATGTGTGTCCATGCGGTTTCTTTTTTTTTTTTTTTTTTTTTTTTTGCGTGACTTTTACTTATTCAATGCGTGCGCGTGTGTGTGAATGAGTATGAGTGGGGCTTGACTGTACATGCAGAAAAAAAAAAAAAATATAATTTTCCATTGCCATTTTTATTACTTTCTTTTTTTACGATTTGTAAACTGTACGTGTGCTTTTTTATTTTTATTTTTATTTCCCTATTTTGGGCTTTGTGCCGGTCCAAATTGCGAGGTTTTTTTTTTTTCTTATTGTTGTTGTTGTTGTTGTTTTGGTGGTGGTGGTGGCGTTGACAACATTTCTTTATTTTATCACGGATACCCTTCTCTCTCTCTCTCTCTGTGTGTGTGTGTGTGTGCTGCGTAGGGGGGCGCCAGTCATGCGATCACGTGGGTCCGCTCCGTCGTCTGCGCCGGGTGAGCAACACTGCACGCTGCGCATCCGCAACCCCGCCGCCGATGCGGTGTACCATCTTGTCTTCGAGGGCAACATACGCAAGCTGACGGGTGCGCAGCTGCGGCTGCACCTCGAGGCCATCTGCCTCATCCCAGCGGAGCAGCAGGTGCTCACGTTCAACGGCGTCCCTGTCGAAAACACAAGCACCGGGGCGTCGCTGGGGCTGCACAACAAGGCAGTGCTGGAGCTCCACACCGCGGGGGAGGCGAGTCGGATCCCGTCTTCGCGGCGTGGCGACTGGGGTGACAGACGCCGCGGTGGGCGGCAAACGCATCCCGCCGAGGAGCATCTGAACCAGAGCGATCGTATTGAATTTTCGCATGGTTTAAACACGTCGGCGACAACGGCGTCACAGTTCACGCCAGTGCCACGCACCAGGCAGCAGAGGGCAGATAGAGAGAGGGCTGGTGAGCGTCAGCGTTACCCGTGCGACAAGCATGACTGTGGTGGGCCACGCGCAGCAACGGGTACATGCGCCGTGGCGCCGTTAGAGAGGACTCCTTCGGCGCAGACTTTATCGCCGGTGGATGTCATCATTGAGGAGGACGCCATCGATGGCCTGGGCACCGCAATGATTCCGTTTTATGATGCCGACGTTGAGGATGCACGCTTGGAGCAAAGGGAGTATGTGTGGATGATGGAGCAGATGCGGTTTGAGACAGAACGGATGAATCGTGAGCGGGAGCTTCTTCGTCAACGCGAGGAGCTGGAGCACGAGGCGGAGATTTTAGAGCGAGAGAGGTGTATCGTGAAAAGACGTACGCTGCAAGAACGACGGAAGCTCGTTGAGCTACATCAGTGGGTATGCGAGGAGATGGCGATGGAGGCACAAATTCTGAATCTTAACGGCCATGAAAACGACTACAACAACTGTGCGAATGACGACGGTGATGGCGGTGATTTTATAGAGCGGGGGAAATAGAGGAAATTGACACTGTTGGCGTCCTGTCATTCCACCCCCCCCACCACACACACAAGCTGCCTCTTGCCTTACATGCAGCTATGCAAATACATGTATCTATCTCCTACCCCTTTTTTCCTTGTGTGTGTACATGTGTGTGTTTATTTTTTTATTTATTTTTAAGTTATTTTTAATGCCTGAAGAGAAACCCATAGAAATTAACAAAGCAACAATAAGAAAAAAAAAAGAGGTTTATTTATTTATTTATTTATTTTTTTGTTGTTTTTTTATCATTTTTTTTTTTTTTGCTTTTATTGTTGAGTATCGTATTTATTTGAATAAAAAAAACAAAAAAACAAAAACAAAAACAAACACACACGTATTATACCATATTATATAATATATATATATATATTATATACGCACGTATGTATGTATGTATATAAGACCAATACGCATGCCATACATGCAAGTATAATAATTATAAACATGGGGCGTTGTTGGTGCATGACGCACCCCCTCCCCTTCCCTTCCCCCCCACCTCAGCTGCTGTGGATGAACAGGAGGGAGGGAGTTCCGCACGGGGGGTCTTTTCTCCGCTATTTTAATTCACGGCTGGTCTCTTTCTCTCTCTCTCTCTCTCTCTTTCCTCCCTTTCTTTATTCCTCGCACACATGCATGCACACACGTGTACTTTTCCCAACTTTTCTTTTTTTTTTTTTTTAGCACGTGATGTGTGTGTATGTGGATGTGCACGCTGAATAAAGTCCTGGAAAAAAGAAAATGGGACTTCTCATCCATTCTTTTTATTTATTTATTTATTTATTTTTTTGTTTTTATTTTTTGTCTGTTGCGCCCCTACGCGTGGTTGCCGAGGGGGGAAAAAGGAAGCACGAATAATAGAAGAGAGGAAAAAGAAAAAAAAAAAAAAATAAGGGGAAAACGAAATTTACACGCAACGAACAGAAACGAAGAAAAAAAAAGAGAAAACAACAAACAAACAACAACAAAAAGGGCTGCAGTGGAGTGAAGGACGAGGGGCGAAAAAAACAACAAAAAAAAAGGGTTTTGTGATTGCCACAAAAATTACGTGCGGGCAACGAGGCACATTTTTCCTGAAAACACACGCGCGGACGGGCGGACGGACGGACGGGTGGGCGGTCAGTGAGTGAGGGGGAGGGGAGGGGGAAACCAACAACAAAACAGTCAAACAAACAAAAAAGGGGCTCAGCAGGTGGCATGGCGGCAAACATTCAAGTCACGCCGGAGCAGGTGCTGCAGTTCAGCGCCCCTACCAGCGAGTTTCTCTGCCCCTTTACCGCCAACACGTATAACATTGAGTTTTATCGGTTCACCATCCGTGACATGGAGACAGGCAAAGTCATGTTTGATGTCGAGCGCAACCCCGAGGATTACCCGTCCATTCCCACCATCGCGCAGCTACCGGAGGAGGTGCATCGGACGATGCGCACCATTTATTACAATTTCCCCCCGTCTATGCTACGACGCAGGGCGATTGGCGCCAAACTCGTTTTTGGTATCAACAGCGACTTCCCCGTCCGAAACTTTCGCATGATTGAGCGACATTACTTTCGTGATACACTTATAAAATCGTTTGACTTCACGTTTGGTTTCTGCATTCCGCACTCCACCAACACGTGGGAGGCCATTTATGACATGCCTGCGCTCTCCGAGGATTGGATCCGCGCCATCATTGACAATCCGAACGAGACTGTCAGCGACAGCTTTTACTTTGTGGAGAATAAATTGGTGATGCATAACAAGGCATTTTACGCATACGACGCACCGGAGGAAAATGTCTTTATTTGATGCAACGAAGGCACGAAAGAATGATGGAGAAGAAGGAGGGGAGGTATTCCGTGTCTGTATGCGTGCGTATGTGTGGGAGAGACGCGGACACACAGACACAGACATGGAGAGGAGGGAGAGAGGGAGGAAGGGAGAGAGAAGTCAAGAAGGAAAACACAATAAACGAAAGCAAAAAATGAAAATGATGAAATGATAATTACGAGGGGGGTGGGGGCGAAAAGAGAGAGAGAGAGTGAGAGTAAGAGAGGGTGATGAATGCAAACAGGGCCTGCAGACACACACGTTTTGGGTGCCCGCACGTCGCATTTTTATGTTTACATCTAAATGAAGAGATGAGGAAAGTGCCAGAAAATGGCACGACGAGGAACATATGACGCTGAAGTCACACACACACACACACACACACACACACAAGAACTCAGGTGCCTTGAAGGGCCGATGGCGAGAAGAGGATGAAGAGCGGAGGAGCCGCGAGGGGGAGGTGAGAAGTGGAAGGATACGATTTAAGGAAATAAAAGGGGCCTACGCGTGAGATGCACACGGCGCGGTAGCAGGGGGGGGGGGGGCGGCAAAACAAAAAAAAAAGTGGGAGTGTCAAACGAATGCGTGTTTAAAATGTCGATGGTGATGACAGTGACCATTTTAGTAGTTATTTACCACTTCATTCTTGTTGCGTTTTTTTTTTTTTTAACTTGTGACGCTTTTTACACCATTCATGCCGTGTTGTGTTTGTTTTCAACCGAGGCGATGATGCGACGCAAGAAGAATGGAATCGACGATGACGAGGATGGATGAATAATCCCATTGCCCTGCTGGGGCTGGTGACTGTCGCTGTGGTTCTTTGATTTGCCTGCTTTTCTTTACTTTTGCCTCCTCATCTGGAGTGGGTGGGTGGTGGGTGTTTACGGCTGTTTTGTGTCTATTGCCTCCTTTTTTTTTTTTTTTTCTGTTGTTGTTTCTCGTCTCTTCTGCAGTGTGTTTGTTTGTGTGTGTACGTGTGGGGCGTTGGTGTAGTTGGAGTAGGTGCTGGTTGTAGGGGTTCTGCACACACACACACACACACACACACACACACACACACACACACACACGGGTCTCTCTCTCTCTCTTTTTCCTCTCCCGTTCCCTTTCTCTTTATATAATCTATCTATCTATCTCTACATATATATGTGTTTGTTTGGAAGAAGAGAGGATGGATGAATGCAATGTGAAGAGGCCTGGGAAAAAAAGAGGGAGGGGGAAAAAAAGGTGAGGGATGGAAGGGGAAAGGGAAGGGGAGCAGAGGTTTGAAGAAGGAAAATAAGGGGATACATGCAAACAAGGAAACAAACAGAAAAACCAAAAGGTAGGAAAGAAATAACGGAAGGGAAAAAAGAAAGAAGGAAAAGAAGAAGAAAAAACAGGGTCCAGGTGGAACGTGCCGTGCTGTGAAAAGGGTAAGGGGTGGGGAGGAATGCGCATGTGCCCTCATGTTTCCTTTTTTTTCCTTTTTTTAAAGTTTCCTGCGGCCATTTTGTGTGCTCCGTGTGTCTTTTGTGTCTTTTTCTCTTTTTTTCGTCCTTTCCTCCCCTCCCTCTTCTCCTTTTTTTTTTTTTGTGCGTGTTGTTCATTTTTGCATTTTTTATCCAAATGTTTTTGTTAAAACTTTTTTCCTTTTTTTTTTTTTTTCTTCTGCTTCCATACTCCCCGCTTTGTTTCTTCCTCTTCCACTTCCTCTTCTTCTTTTTTCTTTTTTTTTTTGAATTGCTTGCGGAATGTGGCTGGACAGGCGCAAAAAGAAAAAAATATTATAATTATTTTTCCTTTTTTTTTTCTTCCGATTTTTTTCTTTTTTTTTTTTTTGTGTGTGACGGACGGACTCTTTTCCCTCTTCCCTTCTTTTTTTCTCCATTCCTTCCCGTCTCTCTTCCTTTTTTTTTCTTCTTTTCTTCTCCCTCTTCGGCTTCTCTCCCCCCGCCGGCAATTCGTTGAGTCTCTTTGATTCATCCCGCATGACACGTCCGTTCCAAAGGCAGCCGCCACCGCAGTACCGCAGCAGCAGCAGCAGCAGGAGGAGGAGGAGGGAAGGGGCGCGGAGGCAACGGGATTGAAGAGAAGAAGAAGAAAAGAAAAAAAGAAAAAAAGAAGGCGGGTGGTGGGAGGGAGAAAAGGGGACATAAAGGGACAAAAGAACAGAAACAAGAAGAAGGCGAGGAAAGGAGCCACGAAAGAAGAAGAAGAAAATATATATAAATAAACAAATAGCAATACAGAAACAACAACAACAACACAGAGAGAAGGAAAGGGAAAGTGAAAAGAAGTTCCTTTGGAAATGAGGCCAAAGGAGACGGAGGAGAACAGGCAGGATTGCGGTGCCGCAGCCTCGCGGGTGCCTGCACGCCGAATGCGGGTGGTGAAAGGGCCTGGCGTTGCGGTGCGAGCCCCACCGGGGACAAAGTATCTTGTCTACGGCCTTATGGTCCTCTCGGGTAATTCCCCTCATAAAAATGTGTCTACCACTGAAAAGCGTGCCGTTTACATGTGTGACACGGATGTTGAAGAGGAGACAGCCGACAGGACCTCAATAACCCCAGTTTCTACTGCGACTGGTGCTAGTAACGGTATGACTAGTCTACGTGAGTATAATCGCATGATGAATATGTTGGTGTCACTGCCGTTGGGCGATTCGCCAGAGGAGCGATCAACGGTGCGGGGATACACGTGGGGAGGAAACGTACCAAACCATGTACGCCCACATTTATGGCGTTTACTGTGCGGTTACATACCATGTGGCCCGCCCTCCTTCTCCCGACAACAGGCAGAACTGCGCCGCAAGCGTGAGGAGTATGATAACTTTGTTTCTAAATACTACAAAATTACGATCACTGACTTTATGCAACCGAATACGTTGCAAGATTTGGGCACACGCTCTGGAAGGCGGGGCGTTGGAACAAACTCAAAATTAGTTGGTGCCTCTGTGGGAACGATGGCCATGACAACGCCGATGGGTACCTCTACAGAGCTGATGG